GCTCGCGGGTGGGGGGGGTTGGGGCGCCCCCCCGGGCGGCCCGGCTGTGCTGCTCCTGGAGACAAGCTGCTGACCAGTGGCCTGGCCACGAGGTCCGTCGGGCGGGCAGCGGAACTTCCTTCCTGGGCTGCGTGGGTGATGCGAGTTGCCGGCAGTGACTGCGCCCCGTCCCCGCTCTCACGGCCCCGCGTGGAGTGGAACCTCCCTGTGGAGGCGGAGGCCGCGGGGAACTTCGTACCGTGAGGGGGGAAGCGCTGCCCGTGATTGTCAAGTCCTTTGTGGCGGCGGAAATGCATTCTGCCCCTCGCTCCTGCTCCTGCCTCGTGAGACCAGCGCCGCGAGGCGGGTTACGTGGGCTTCCGCTGGAGGGTTTTTTGGTTTTTGTTTTTTTTAATCCTCACCCGAGGATATTTTCCATTGACTGTTAGAGCAGAAGAGAGAGGGAAAGACAGAGAAACATCCATGTGAGAGACACATATCGACTGGTTGCCTCCTGCATGAGCCTCGACCAGGGCCCAGGCCAGGGAGAAGCCTGCAACGAGGTACGTGCCCTTGACTGGAATCGAACCCAGGACCCTTTGGTCCGCAGGCAGACGCTCTATCCACTGAGCCACACCTGCCTGGGCCCCCTGGAGGTTCTGAGGCCCAGTGCTGTCGCTCCCCTTGGAGGTCATGACCCTGGCTGAGCAGTGCCTCTCCTGCCCTGTTGTGAGGTGTCAATACGGTGACGGACAGAACATCTTAACATTGCGGACCAGTAGTTTCATTGCTAGCGTTACCCAGTGGCCAGGAAAGTTTCTATTGAACGAGTACAAAAAACGTTTTACCTAATTGTTAAAGGCAGGCTTTAAAGTTAAATGCCCGTTGCATTTTGAAGTCATTTATTAAATGTTCTCACAAGCTAATACCTTTTGAAAGTAGGATACTTTGTAAAACACTTTGTGACACGAAGCGAGAATTCTCCTATCGCCGCGACGCGCTCAGAACAGGTTTCTTTCTGGGGTTTGTCCGACTCCAGTTGCTGGCTTGGCACCGCAGGTTGTGCGCATTCTTGGCTGTTTCCCTGGTCCTCGGGCGCGTGTTCCCACGTGAGTGGGTAAACCCGCTGGTTCTGACGGGGGCACAGGGCTGCCCTTTGGGGGTGCCTGGCTGGGCCAGGATTCTGTTTCTGAGGCTCAGTCTTCCCACCCTTCTTACCACCCCCCAGCCCATATGGTTGGGAATGAGCTGGGCTGTGTGGGTGAGGAGAGAAGGGGCAGCAGCTTCCTGTTCTCCCCGCAGGCCGAGAAGGTGTTCATGGTGGCTCGAGGGCTTGTCCGCGAGGCTCAGGAGCAGTTGGAAGTGCAGCAGGCCAAGCTGAAGGAGGTGAGGGACCGCCTGGACCGCATCTCCAAGGAGGACAGCCAGTACCTGGAGCTGGCTACCCTGGAGCACCGCATGCTGCAGGTAGGTCCCCGGGGAGCCCTTCCTCACCTGGGCAGGGCCCAGCAGGCAGGCCAGGGAGGGGCCAGGTGGGAGTCCCGGCTGGTCTGATGGTCAGGCCTGGGCAGGAGTAAACCAGAAGCTCCTTGGAGGGGCAGGGCCTCAGGCTTGCTCAGCCCATCGCCCACGTCCTCCCAGAGCACTGGGTGGATGTGCCGGGCACGTGCTCTGGCCCCAGGTTGCCAAGGAGGGGGCACCAGAGGGTGCCAGACACTCCCCTCTGGTAGGCACATTCCTTGTCTGGCAAACGCCAGGACGGCTCGGGTCGGAGGATAGTGCGGCCGCTCTGGCCACCCCGACTTCTTTGCTCCCCCGACACCAGGCTCACGCTGCCTGCATTCGTTGGCATGTCATCGTTGGCATGTCATCTGTGCCAGGCACAGGCTGAGCCTCGCGGTGACCGTGGGAGCCTGCTGGCAGATGTGGCGGCGGGGCCAGGTTGCACGTGGCCGCTGTGTAACCAGCTCCGCTTCCGCAGGAGGAGAAGAGGCTGCGCACAGCCTACCTGCGGGCCGAAGACTCCGAGCGGGAAAAGTTCTCCCTCTTCTCCGCGGCCGTGCGGGAAAGCCACGAGAAGGAGCGCACGCGGGCCGAGAGGACCAAGAACTGGTCCCTCATCGGGTCGGTCCTGGGGGCCCTGATCGGCGTGGCCGGCTCCACCTACGTGAACCGCGTGCGGCTGCAGGAGCTGAAGGCCCTCCTGCTGGAGGCCCAGAAGGGGCCCGTGAGCCTCCAGGAGGCCATTCGGGAACAGGCGTCCAGCTACTCCCTCCAGCACCGGGACCTGCACGACCTCATAGCGGACCTGAGGGGCCTGGTCCAGGCTGAGCCGGGGCCAAGCTCTGGGGCCCAGGCAGGGACCCCCACCCGGGACAGTGACGCAGACGTCCTCTCAGCCGCCCTGAGAGAGCAGCTCAGCCACTCCCGGCAGGTCCGTTCCTGTCTGGAGGGTTTGCGAGAGCAGCTCGACCGCCTGGAGAAGACTTTCGGCCAAGTGGCCGGGGTGGTGCAGCTTGCGAAGGCCGCCGACCCGGCTCCGCCTGGCTCTGCGCTGGAGCCGGGGGGCCTGGTCTTGGTGCTGCCGGACATGGAGCAGCGGCTGGAAGCCCAGGTCAACAGGAACACCATCTACAGCACACTGGTCACCTGCCTGACGATCGTGGCCACCATGCCAATGCTCTACATGCTGTTCAGGGCCAGCTAGCCCGGACCGGCTCCGAGGGCCTCGCTGGCTGGTGTGGATGCAGTAGAGGGTCCTGGTGGGGAAGTGAATCTCGGGGGACACACGCCACCACAGCCTGAGCCGGGTACCGCCTGTGTGGTGCGTGGCAGACGGACACGTTTCCTTCTTGGGCAGTGCTCATCTACATTAATTATGAAAACTTTGTGCTAACAGCTCATTAACATGTCTTTGAGTTTATGTTATTTAAAGTAATTTATATCAACTGAGTTTTACTTGTTGAAAATTGAGATTCAAGACTCGAGGGTTTGCAAAGAACTTATATATTTACTAGAGGCCTGGTACACAACATTTGTGCACTGTGGGGGGGGGGGGGCCCCCCAGCCCGCCCGGG